GGAGAATATGCGTTCGCGTATTGATCGGGGTGATATCAAGGCTGAGCGGCAAGAGGCCATTCAGGCCATGTGTGATATCGCTCTAGACCGAGCTTCTAAGCTGCAGAAAGCATAGGGTGCGACTTCGGTACAGGAATCAGTCTCCGGAGTTTGCTGAAAGACGTCAGTCTCTGGATGGATGAGTTGGAGTTGGAGTCTCGGCATGTTGAATGATTTTGTAATTGGAATCAGATACTGTTGTACATGCTACATGCTCTTTTGAGCATCCATACGAAAAAGAAAACGCCCAAAGGCTTCCCTTTTCCTATATCTACATATACAACATCACTACCCAAGCGTGGAACATTTGCGACGATAAAAATCCCCCAAACTCCAAACCGTTGGACGTGAAACGCTAAACACCACGCTTTTTTCCGCAATATAGTAGTACAACAAACACCCGAAGCCGCTTTATCCTTCTTTTTTGTGACTTCCGCCAGCCCCCATACTCCGGACCCTTTTTAGTTTTGGTGGTACAAATAAGTCTTTTTCTAGATCGAAAATGCGATGCGAAGTGAAGTTTTCAGTATTGAGTTTTGGTACGGAACGTATGGTATGCGCCTTGTTGTAGAAGTCAAAGGCACCGTCGCTGAGTGGATTTGATGCTGATGATGCATGCTGCGGATCCAGTAGGTAGGTCATGTCGTGTGAAGTTTGCTCGTAGACCACGAGTCTCATGATCCAAAACGCATGAACATCAGATTCCTCTGCCGTCTACGCTCCTCGTCGACGTCGTTTGAACGAGCTGGCTCATTTCCTCGACCCGGGTGATTGTCCAAATGGTTCCATGCTGTCGGATTCTGTCCTGTCATCGAAGTATCGAGCGCAGTGAAATTCGGCGACTTCGACACCGGCAAAAAGTTCGGCGAAGCGGGAGCAGCCAATGGCATCAAATTCGGCGAAGCAGGTATAGTCGCGGATGCCGGGGCGAAATTGGGCGACGTCGATACAGGAGGGAAGTTTGGTGACATTGGCGCTAGTGTTGGGGCAAGATTAGGAGAAGCCATCGTCCGTGCTGTAGGCATAAAGTTTGGCGAAGTAGCGGCTACGGTGCTCACGGCGAGCATTTCCGGCGATACCGATTTCGTTGGTAAAATTGGCCGGAAGTTTGGCGACATCGCGAAGGAGTCTGTTCTCTTGGATGCGGACTGCGATGTTGCGAACAGGGCGGGAAAGTCCGGCGACGTTGATGCGAGTGTAGGTGCTGGGCTATCGAAGGTAGACGCGCTCGGCCATATCGCGTCTGCGCCTTCATCTACCTGGTCGTAGTCGCCAACAACTGGTTCTTCGTGGCCCAACACGTTGAACTCGGGAAACATGCTCGTGGCATGTGTAGTGTTGGTGTATGATGTGGTAGATGAACTTGAAGTGACAGCAGAAGGCGAAAAAGGTACCTCATCGTCGTCCTCGTATGGATTTGGTATCGGCTCATCTTCGTCGTCGAGATGAGCGTACGGGTCGAACGCATCACCACTATCTTCAACGTCGAGAGCGTCATAGTTTGAGAGTCCAAGCGGCGATGGCGGCAGGGGTAGGTAATCTCGACGTGGTGCCGGGTCTCTTGCAGCGTGAGACCATGCTTCGTTTGGCGAGCGGAACGCGGTAACCTCGTCGGACGGACTTCTCAATGTTGGGGATGGCGAGGTAGGTGAGGGGCTTCTCGAAGACGCTGGAGAACTGGAAGGTGATCCAGAGACTACAAAGTGGCCTCCAGTCCTCACAGCAGCACTGGGCGGTACTGAGGGATCCCGCGAGTGTACTGGCCTCGTATAAGTGTCGACACTGCCATGGTTGAACTCTAGCCTCGCCAACTCAAGTTGTGCTTGTTCTTTCTCCTGCTCAACTGGCACACGACCGCGTCCGTACTGTGCCTCCTTGGTCAAGATGCATCGTCTGCGTATGCCATTGAGGATGGCAGCCTTTCTTAGCAAGTTTCGTCCAAGAGCCTTTTGCTTGGCCCATACTGCAATCTTAGAGCTACCACGATCTACGATATTGGTTGCTGGGTGCGAAAACTGTGGCGATAGTCGTGAAGTGATGAGGAACAATCGAAGTCGCCGTTTCTTCTTCTGCACGCAAGAATGTTCCCCATCGATATCCGCCACCGCTCGGCTGCGCTTCCTGGATCCGCACGGCGATGGGCGAGGCAAAAAGGTAAGCCCCATAGTGGGCTGGGGAAGTATATTGAACTCCAAAGTGGACGATTGTCCAATAGGAAGTAGGTTTTCGAATCGTCGAGTTGGTGATGTTGCGTGCTCAGTGGGGGCTTGCATCATCCTCCGTTGCCCAACTTCATGCACTGTCTTCGAGAGATGGAGCTGGTGACGCGAATCGGCATTCTCGCACAGCAGTCCTGATCTAGCAGTGGCGAGGTGTGATGGTGCTAGTTCAGACTGTCGAAATGTCGGTATGCCGTGCGGATACGGCGCGAGGTTGACAGATGGATGTGGAGCCAGAGACGCCGTGCTAACGAAGGGCGAATCTTAGCTTGGGGTGTAAGCGTGCAATATCGAGGTCCGGCCTGTCACGAGACGACCTCTGGAGCCCGAGACGAGATGCGAAGTAAGCATGCGCGTGACGCAGTTACTGATTGGGCGAGTTAATATCGAAAGCCAAAGGGTCGCCAGTGAGGGAACATGTCGGTGCCAGAGAGTAAGCAGTCGGCGACGATGAAAGTGGTATTCTGTCTTGTGCAGAATGCAGAAGAGGGGCTAATAATATCGCTAGGGAGGTGCAGGAGCGGATGACCCAGCGCTATGGGCAAGATGCGGAGAACCCCAGTAGCCATCTGCCACACTACCACTAGTGACATGCACACATCATCTTCTTACTGGACAACGTGAGAAGGTCTTTGCAAGCCACGGCATCCAGACACGCACTCTGTGGATTGACCACTGAAGACTCGACCGCAGCATCGGTCAAGGCCAGCTTTGTGAGGCTGCAACACGTCGTAGCGGAGGCGAAAACGGGACTTTTTGCTCGTGTTTGAGGGAAGAGGCGCACGCGGACTGAAGAGGAGGAGATGGGCGCTGGCCGGTCGGAGAAGGTCTCCATGCCCAAACTTGATTCAAGTGAGGCTTCAAGCTTCAGGGGTTCCCGTCTGTCAAACCCTGTCGCTCTTCCCCAAGATGCCGCCGATCAGCCCAGACCCCGAATCCTTCAGCTGCAGCCAACGAGAGCACCATCACGCTTTTCGCCATTCGCCATCGAGCAGGAAGAATTTGCGGCCATGTCATCACTCGAGCAGCGCTGGGTTTGACCTTGTCAGATGTAGACAGATGACAGCAACACGCGCGTACACCATCAGACGAAACCTCGTCGCAGCGAATGGCAGATTCGATGTCCGAGGCACAGTCTGACAGGGTCTAGGGCACCGACGATCCGAGAACCCTGGGGTTGTGCGACGCATTCGGCTCCCCTCGAGCTGAGCTGCACGACATGGCATTTACGATCGCCCAATAGCGGGGCAGTCGCTTCCATGTCTTGACGAAGATGCCGGATCACTGGGCAGCAATCTCAAAGATCCCATCGTAAAAGCAGACCGCCCAAAGGCGAACCCACGTAGAAGAGGTGTATGCGCGATGTCTCCTTCCTTCACATGCGATCGACGATGCTCCTACATCTATCTCACCTGTCTTGATGTCAGCAACTCTGCCCGCGGAGAACACCTTCCGCCTCTGCGGACCACGGCGCTTCACGAACAACAGCCACCTCACAATGTCGTGCTCCACATGTGACCTTCCGTCTGTTCGTGTAACAACCTTACGTTTCGTTTCCCCTTCTCCAGTCCTGCACTCCAGCTTACACCGCATCTGCAGCACACGCTGCACTCCGCACTGCTGCACAACACACACGCACACTCATCTCATTCGCCCACTCCATCCTAAATCTGCAAGTCGTCACGAGCCCTAATCTCGTTCGTCTCGTTCGACGTGTCCAAAAGACTAATGCTCAAGCTCGCACATCGGCGACCTCCATATTCGCCTTCTCTTTTTGTGCTGCTGTCTGCTGTGAGAAGAGGGTGGCCTAACACTGACGCTCCTTCCTCTTGAACAACAAAATTCACGCAACGCATGACAGCCGAGCCCAACCCGCATCCGTAGCGCCATGCATGAAGATGAGGCTCAGCGTGCGTCGTTTGAAGAAAAACTCGTTCGTTTTACCGAGAGAATAAGCAATATGGACGCCACCTACACCACATCGCGATGGGTACATCACCCACCTAGTCTAAGTGAAGTTTACCAATGAGAAGCTCCTCGGCAACACACTTCCTCGAGATGCGATTTGCGGGACAAAGCTTGCTATGAGCTTGTAAGTCGATCAGGATCCGCGAGTATACAGTAGCGGGCGACTGTGCTGTGTTGGTCGGTGGAGTGGGCCGAGAGGGTAGGACAGTCCCGTCCCGCTCTTGGCAATTGGCGTCTGAACGGTGAGCGATGCATAGTAGAGCCCGAAAGGGTAATTAGAGCGAAGATGAGAGAAGGATATTTGAGATCATGACAAGTCGGTAGCGGAGAAAAGTTCCAGCAGAGGGTTTGGCTATTATGTAAACTGACATGTGTTCGACAAAGTATGCCCATATGATTTGCGGGTGATGAGCCATTAGATCAGAGGTAGACATGCACTCCGCTTGTTTCCCAATTTAATGGCTGCTGGTAAGACGTAGAGTTGCTCAACTACTTCCGCTACGTAGTCTAGTCTCCAACCAAGTTCACTCTGTTGGTGTCCATGTGGTCCCTTCCACGAACACATTGTTTCTTTCCTATACTATGGTCAACCTTCAGTGCGAGATCGATCACGCTGCTTCCTTAAGATGACCAGCGTGCTATTCGACGTGTAGTCGCATCAGCAGCTCTCGATGCTGCTTCCTTGTCTCGCAGTTTGCCTGTATTGCCGTTCCCCTTATAGTGCTCTTCCTGCTTCAAATATGGCTCTATTCCTGATACGAGTGTCTCAGATCATCAGATCATCAGATCAGGATCCGGCTGCCAAAGGTAAAGATCCTTATCAGCACTCGCCAACAGGTTGGTCCTCGGGTTGTATCCCACAACAGCGCTCTTTCCCTGTCCCGGTAGTTTCTCCATAGGCTCGAGCATATTATTTGGCGCTGGTGCTTTCGAAATATCCCACACCAAGAGACCGTCCTCGCCGCTACCTCCAATGAGGAACTTGCCATCTGGCGTGAGACACACGTCGCCCTGTCCGTTTGCAGGACCACTGCCATCGGATTTGGCACCGGATTTGTTAGTGACCGATGCGCTGGGCGGAAGACGTCCCGAGGAACCAGCCTTGCGGTAGCAGAAATGCGTCAGGTCGCCGGAGAAGGCATCTAGCACGAAATGTCCGCTGCCATTCGTCGCGACGACAAGACTCTTTCCGTCGTTTGTGAACTCAATCTTGGTCCATTCGACCTTTTGTCCTCCCATGAAGCGCTGCTCAGCCTCGAGCAAGTCGAATGTTGCGAACGGCGGCTTATCGTAGTTGCGCATATCGTAGAGGAGGACGTTCTGTGTAGGCGGAGATGCGATTGCGATAACGGTCGCGGAGGGATCGTAGGCTGCGAGGTAGGCGCCGTGGAGGTTGAGCATGCCGACGTAGTTGGGGGATTGTAGGTTCCATAACCGCACCGTGTTGTCTTTGGAGCAGCTTATGAAGTCGTCTTTGGACGGACACAGGGCGATTGAGGTCACTGTGTCGGTGTGCCCCTTGAAGTAGCGGATGTACGAGTTGTCGTGTGTGGAGAGGAAGCGGATGGTGTCGTCGATCTTTGTACTCGCGCAGATGATGCTCTGGGCATGGTGGCTGAAGCGCGCAAGGTGTACGCCGTACTTTTGGCTCTTGAGCTCCTTGGCGTGCTTGCCTTCTTTGCAGTTGTAGATTTGGAGGGTATCGTCGTCGCGCGCGACAATGGCTAGTTCGCCCGAGTCGTCAAAGTCGAGGGACGTTACTGAGGTGCCCTGGCCGCCCGATTTGAAGCGCTACAAGATGTTAGTACTGGACATATACAAAGGTATAGTATTCTAGTCTCACCCTCTGCGGCCGGAAGCTCGTTATGACGTCGGCAACTTTCTGTGTCGGCGGGCCTGCAGGCGGCGGTGGAGGCCCGCCGCCGGGTGTCGCTGAGCCAGCCATGTTCGAGTTGAGCTCCTAATCCTCTGCTGCGACAACTGCGTTCATCTCCACCGCTTCAGTCGGCGAATCAGCGGGCGCGTAAACTCAAGCACGCGACGCGACGTGGACAATTAGAGCCGGCGGAATGCGCTGAAGAGTTGCAGCAGATGGAAAGAAGTGGGTCCGAGCGGTCTTACGTAGCTGTCCATGCCGAGCCGAAACCGGAACGATTATTCATATTCACCTTGACATTTCCTCACCATTGCCATTGTTACCGCAAGACGTGTATAGCTTCAGTTTCGCTTAGTCTTACTTCCATCCCTAATTCCTACAAATCTCCTCCAGTCGTGTTCATGATCGCGCGGTAACCCACGTCGCTACCACTATCGAATACGCACTCCACCATACTTCCGACTTGCGCGCCGAAGAGTCGCATAGAGTGTGAGAATGTCTACAACCCTCGGGTAGGTACTCAGTATAAAATTCAAACACAGTATTAATTGTATTAACGATGACCCCCACCAGCTCCTTCATAGCCGGCGGCATAGCAGCATGCGGTGCAGTCACAGTAACCCACGGCTTCGAGACCGTCAAAATCCGGTGCGCGTCTTCGCTCGCAGCACCTGCGCGACCAGCTCGTTGACGATCGCCCAGACTACAACTACAAGGCGAGCTTAAAGCGAAAAGCGACGCGCCGCGATTATACAAGGGCGTCTTCCACGGTGTGAGCGTCATCTTGAAGAATGAAGGACCCAGAGGTTTACTACGCGGTCTGGGATGCGCAGTATGTCTGGCACATGTTTCCGGAACGAGCAGAAACTGACGCGCCCAGTACATCTACCAAATGACCCTCAACGGCTGCAGACTAGGCTTCTACGAACCCATCCGCAAGACCCTCACCAATGTCGTATACAGCGACCCAGCCGTCCAATCCTTCGGCATCAACCTCTTCGCAGGCGCTTCATCCGGTATTCTAGGCGCAGCAGCCGGCTCTCCCTTCTTCCTCGTAAAGACGCGGTTACAATCCTACTCGCCCTTCCTACCCGTCGGCACACAACACAACTACCGAAACGCCGTCGATGGCATGCGGCAAATATACAGCGGCGAAGGAATCAAGGGCCTATACAGAGGTGTAGGACCAGCTATGGTACGCACAGGTTTCGGCAGCTCCGTACAACTTCCCACGTATTTCTTCGCAAAGAGGCGGTTAGTGAAACATCTGGGTATGGAAGAGGGCATGCCGCTGCACATTGCGAGTAGTACGGCCAGTGGCTTTGTCGTTTGCTGTGTCATGCACCCTCCGGATACCATCATGTCGCGCATGTACAACCAGACGGGCAACCTGTACACATCGGCTTTTGACTGCTTGAGTCGGACGGTCAAGACGGAGGGTATCTTTGCGCTGTACAAGGGCTACTTTGCCCATCTGGCGCGCATTCTGCCCCATACGGTATGTCAGACAGATGTAATAGGTGGGACTCGGTCGCTAACATTGACATAGATTCTGACCCTTACGCTCGCCGAACAAACGATCAAGCTCATGCGCTTGGTAGAAAACCGGATAGGCGTTTCAGACGCCAAGGAGAAGATATGAGAAGGGCTGCTTGTGAGGACTGGGGGCTAAATCTGCGTGCATCACCTACAACCTCGCGGTGTCCGACATACCATACGCAACTTGACGAGACGGTGCAGATACCTACGAAGAGTAAGGATATACCGAGAACGAAGCGAAGCGTTTCGGATACAAAACGAAGGACACATACACAGAGAGAGAGAGTTGAATAGATACCAACACCAGCTGGTAAATGGCTACTGAGATGTTAGAATCTGAGAATATCCCGTACATCTAATACTCCTCCGACTTGGGTCCCTGACGTGACAACGAGGGATGTCTATAAAGTCTCGTACGTCCAGAGCAATCCCACTTTATTCATCATCCTCCCACCCCTCAGGTAGCCATCCAATCGGTCTCGGTTTCCACATCCCCAACACCTTAGTCGGCCCCTTGATCTTCTCCTTGACCACCCCATCCTTGCCCTCATTCTTTCTAACCGGCAAAGCTTTCTCAATCTCCTCGACATCGACGTCAACATCCATCTCCTCACCCCCCGCTCCCTCCGCCCTCGCAGCCTCCAGCACAGCACGCCACAACTTCTCATCCACAACGTCCCTTGCAGCATCCAGCACCTTCTCCGCCACCTTCAAATTCCAAAACGACGGTTCAGAAAAACACACCCCAAGCACCTCCTCCACAACCTTCCTCTCCACCGCGCCTCCCCCTCGTACACCCGCCCACCCCTCCTCCGTAAGAACATGGACAATCCAGTCCTGCAGTCCCTCCCTCACAGGATCCATCTCCGGATTCATCATTGCGCGCGCAGCAGGGGACGTAGCGTTCATAGCACGCATGAGATGTTCGACTAGAGTCTTGATGTGCAGCACGCCGGCGTCGAGGCAGAAGGCGCGGAGTAATGGTGTCCAGATGATGAAGGCGCCGGACATGGTACTGCCTAGTTTTTTGTCTGTGGGTAGAATCATTTTCTCGTCGACTAACAAGTGTAGAAGTACGCGCTGGGTCTGTGTCGAAGGTGTGGTTGTAGCAGTGGGTGCGTAACGTAGGGTATACGTCGACAACGCTGTTTCAGCAGCCTTACTATTATTGTCCTTCTTTCTGTTCTTGATCTCGGACTTGCGTTCTTTGACGTAGGTTTTTAGTATGCTTTGGAGTTTTTCGCGGACGGCTTCTCGGCTTTGGACGCCTAGTTCTTCCTCTTCTTCTGTTGCGGGTGCAAGGCTACCACCTGTCTTGAAGGCATGGTCGAGTTGGAGCCAGTACCATTCCCAGAGCCAGGAGAGGGACTCGGTGGCTGCGCGCTTTAGCTCGGCGAGGGAAGGGAGGTGTCGGTGGACGATTCGGTGACGGGTTTCCAGAAGGGTGAGGGGAAGTTGAAGTGCTTTTCCGGGAGGGAACCATGACGGGCGGTCGCGGGTTAGGTCGATTTGCGTGTCTGCCAGGCCAGTGATGAATCTGGGGGTGGTGTTAGATGGGGTGTTCGTATGAAGGTAGAATGATGTTATGGTTAGGCCAGTATGAAATCATGATCGATAGGTTGTCAGGGAAGATGATTTGATGGAAACAGACGAGGAGTATTGATAGTGATGGGAAAGAATGGTGCTGCAAAGCCATAGTGAACCAGTTCTATGCAGAGGATGTAGGAAAGCTGCTGAGATGTTCATGAATTCCAGCTTCGAACAAACCTACCTCGATATCGCAGTCGCATACAACAACCGCAGTGCATTATGTTGCAACTCGCCTCTTGCATCTTGAAGCACTACATCGACAATATCCGCCGTCGAGTCCAGCAGCAATGGCAAGCCATCAGGTTTCCGTAGTCGCCAAGCAAACACCTACCTGTCATCAGCACACTGTGGCTGTCGACTCTGCTGAAGAGTATATTGATTTCTTCCAGCGTACCTTGTTCACCGCCTTCTCTCTCCTACTAGTCTCAGGACTATACAGGTCCTGGCGCAGCTGAAGCAGCTCGCGACTATCACGCCACGCCGTGACAACAAACCGGGTATGCGATTCCATATTCTTAGTCGCAGTCGCGCAGATTGACGCGTTTCTGCAATGCGAAAGTTTCAAACCCTGCTATTGGCTAGCTCAGCACCTGGGCATGTAACGTCGCAGGTGAAGGCACGTGAACTCGCGTTAGAAATTTCCTCAGTCGTTCCAGATTGCTCGCCCTATCGATAAGCGCTAAAAGTCTCATCCATGGCCTTTAGCATCGAGCCAATGACGCAAAGCCACCCGGCAAAACCTTGGAATTGTTTTTTTCCTGTCCCCCATCTTCCATCGCAAACCCAATCTCACAAGCCACGCACCCCAACTCCTGGAACCTCTGTTGTCTGAACTATTAACTTCGCGCTACTTGCTTAGTCTCCGGTGACGACCATGACAGGAGGGAACAGGCAGCGTGGCACATCCTGCTGCTCGGTTAGCTGGTAAACTTCGGCACTAGACGCCCGGAGGAGCTCAGATGTTCGGTCAGGGCAACTGAAGCGGGTCTGGCCGAAGTTGGGCGGAGCTGAGCAAAAAAGAGTGCAGAGACCAGGACGATGGTGCAGCATCCATAGCCTTCTGCCGCGCAGGGCTGGCGTGGCTCGCTCCGTCTGACGGCGTAACGATCGGTCGGACCGTAGAGGTGTCTGCGTCACTCCGACATGGTGTGTGCGTGTTTGCGCCCATCAATCATGCCACTTTGTGAGGCTGATGCTACTCTGTTATTTTATCGGTCTTCGGTCCTTTGCCGGGCGTTGTGACACAATTGCGCGCTGGCCTTGTTGCGTCAGACTAGGACCGGAGGACGGCGGCATGTCGCCGACATATGATGTTGGTGTGTCTTGTGCTGGTCGCCTTGGAATGCAATGTGTTTGGTGCACTAAGGGCTGGTACATGGCGGCTTGCGCCGAGACGAGAGTGCGTTGGGACCACGGTTGAGCGAAAAGGCTAGAAGCGTTGAAGAAGCTTGTGGGTTGTGGAGGACGAGGATGCATCGTGTTACGGCATCCTGTGAGTTCTGGGGCAGGCCAGGTGCGCGATGGGGTGCACCTTCCTTTCTCGTCAACGGCTCACTGCCAGGCTTCTTGGGCACTATGTGTTCACAAGCATCATAGAGTAGACTCGTCAGCACTGCATATTGGGCCAAAGTATGGTGTAGTATGATTGATTTGGTTGATGATGCTATCTAATACATCATCTTCATCTGACCTCATAGTGAGCGATGCAAAGCCTCACTCTATTGCCGCTAAAGGCAGGGTATCTCTAAGTCTCTTTTCCGGTCCCAAGCGGAACCATGCAAAACGCCGCGCTGTGCTGAAAGAACTCGCCTCGAAAAAATGCTCGCCTCGAAGATAGGGCAATGGACCTCTGTCGTGGTCGCACGTTTGAAACAGACATCTAGATTACAACCAGCCATATCCCAGCCCGGCGTCCCGCACCGGCATGGTGGGCTGCTTCA